CCACTAGGCCTGCCAAAAGCGTGTTGATAGAAAACACGAGGCCTGGGAAATCTGCTTAACTCCAATGCAGGTCCAAAGCTCGCCTTCGAATGTATGAGCGTGCAGTTGATTTCATCCTGTAATCAACAAGAAATAGAGACAAAGAATTCGTGGTTAAATCTATAAATGATAGCCGATCGGCTAGGTGCCGATGACATATCATTTATCTTTGAGCCGATGTCATATATGAATCGATCGGTGGTTATAAATAGACAGTAAGGAACTAAATCTATTCGATCGGCTGTAGATATTAACGATATATAGTTCTTATATTAATATATACTTAAATCAAGTAATTGGGATAGATCGGCCACCATGCCGAGACAGTATAAATCACTTAGACCGAAATATATATTAATAACAGGATTATATATGTTTATAGCATAGCCGATCAGATAGATCTAGCATGTATCGGCTAATTCTCCGATACTACTCTATATAAAGATATCAAGACAAGTATAATATACCAAACAAAAGCTTAATATACTTAAATGCAGTAAGATCTTGACATAAAGGGCGGATTTAACATGTCACTGAGGCACATAGATCAAATATGGTTAAATCAGATAAGATCGGCTGAAACTCTGATACTACCCTAATCGGCAACCAGAGGACAGGCTAGAGATTGATATTCTAAGCACAACTTAATAGATCAAACTCAACTGATGCATCATTAAGTATGAAAAGAAGAACAATATCTAGACAATCAAGCCGCTGGATGTTTCATAAAGTGGTAAATATCTTATATAATCTAGGACAACGTCGCTATTTAACCTAATCGGCTGCCTTCTATTAATAGATGTTAGCCGATTGTAGGTTAGATGACGATATTGCCAAAGATTATGTAAGATATATGATAACTCGACGAATTATATAGGCAAGATTAGAGTGTCATAAAGATGGAAGCACTAATCTTGAGAACACAAGTCGTCATAACAAGTTTTACCTCTTGTTGAAGATCGAAACCGATGCAGCTCAACCCAAAAGCAAGAACTCGTCGAAACAAAACTAAAGCAAAAGGGTGGCGATGCGCCGAAATTGTATTGAACGTGTGTGTTAAAAATTACATAGGGCTCGGGGTCTATTTATGTCATGACCGGAAATAACCCAACGGGCGTTCCTTACGTGCGTGTATTATTCCTTGTCCCAGGAGGCAAGGTACACCAAAAGTTGATACATTTCAGACTTTCTCAAGCGGAAGCGTAAATAATTAATTTATTACATGGGCGGCGAAGGCCCAGCACACACAAAGACAAACGGGAAACAGCGGAAGACTAGGGCGACGACCACAGGCGCTTGACGACAGGCACGAGCTAGACACCAAAGCCTTCATCTTCCAGGAACTCCTCTTCCGGGTTTGGGAAAAATTGAGCAAGACTGAGTACAACCACCGTACTCAACAAGACACACCCACAAGTGCAGAATAAATGCAAGGGAGTACAAGGGGGGTTATAATATAAGGGTTAGGGTTTGCAGTAAACAGCATTAAAAGACCCTTCGTTGCTCAAAGCTATTTTGTAAATACGATCCTAGAGCTATACAATATTATTAATCAAGGCCGTGAACCCACACGAACCTGCCTTAACCCAAGGCCTACGATGATTCGGACCGAACTAGCAACCCGACCCTGGGTCCCAGCTCGTCCCAAGCCAACCCAGGCCAACCATTCCACATTTTAGTTGTTAAGCAGGTTTTAAGAATTAAAACACTAACTTGGGTACATTGCTCGGCTTGGCCATAACCGAGGGCGCGGCTATTCGAATAGCTTATACTCTGATCAGAGGTGTACATCTTTACCCACAAGACACATCTTCCTCACGTGTAACCACGTGCCACATACCACCACGGTATACGGACGGAAGACGTCACATAGTTTCCAACCCATCCTAGCCATAGACAAGAGTACCGACCCAACCCCACCTACGGCCGAAACCTCCGGGACAGGTAGGCAGGACTGAGCCCCTAACAGCAGGACACCGGCCCTGTGCCATGACATCTCGACTACCGGGCCGCAGCTCGTGTAGCCTTCATTTGCCCTAGAGATGTCCATCGAGCCCCGACTTCATCCATCTCCATCCGTGTACTATCTCCATCCGTGTACTTTTGTTTATAACCAGACTGAGCCACAAACTAAGCCTTACCCACTAGACATGTGGAAGTACGGTAGTGCTTTGCAATAGAGGCCCGAAGACCGGTCCTTATATGGCCGAGGTGCTACTATCAAAACCATGCACCCCAAGCCCAGCCTAAAACCATTTTGAGGGTTTTGAATAGAGGGGGAGGTGTGAATCCAATTCCACAATAATCCAACCATTCCATAGTGTCCAGGTGATATGAATATTCCCAAAGTCTAGAGTTGTAAAACCACCTAATGTTGCCTAATTAACCAGCGAAGCATCTACCTAAAATCATACTAGTGGTACCATGAGTAGAGTGTCCACTAGTTGGGGTTTTGTTTATTCTAGGGTGAACAAGGTAATAATAACAATAGCAATACTAATAAGGTCATAACAAAGGTAAATAGGCATGGCTAAATAAAACATTGATAACGCGGGAATTTAAATAAAGCGATAATGTAAAAATTTAAATCAAAATAATTTTGTAAACTGGGATTCAATATGTTCCAGGATGATGTGACTTGTCTTGCTCGCTTTCCCAAACGTCGGCTTCAACCTCCACGAAGAGCGGATCTTCCGAAGCTGCGGCGTCTACACAACCAACGGAAAAGAAAAGGCTTTTACTCTAATAAACTCCATATAACAAGCAGGAACAAAGCACAAAATTGGGTTCTTGACTTCTTAAGGAAAAATTAGAGACTTGAACGGTCCAATTCCGAATTCAAATGGCCAAGTTATGGCCATTTGAAGTTTATATGCTCTTTAAATGAATATTTGCAAATTTCTTCATTTAAATTTTAATTTTAAAAAGGGTTTATTGCGCCAGCCGAGGGGGAGGGGCGCGCGGACCGGGTCCACGGGAGTAGGGCCCACGCGGCAGCCTCACGGTCCATGGTGGACCGGGTGCACCCGGGCTCACACCGGCCGGCGCCGTGGGCCCCACACGTCAGCCGCACCCGAGGGCGCGGGCGGCTGACGGCCGGGCCCCATGCGGCAGCCACTCGGCGCGCCAGAGGGCGGCCATGCCGGCGCAGTCGGCGGGAGGCGGCGCGCCCGCGCCCCGATGGTCGCCGCCGACGACCACCGGCGCGGCAGAGCGGCGGCCGAGAGAGGGAGGGAAGGGGGAAAGGAGGCGACGGTCCACGGCTCACCCTGGGGCGACGGCGGCGACGGAGGAGGCGGCCGGAGCGGAGGAGGCGGTGGCGCGGCTCGGGTCGACGGGGACGGCGGCGCTTCGGCGGTCGGCGACCGAAACGGAGAGGTGGACGAGGTCGGCGAGGATGCGGCGAAGCCGAAGGAGGCGGCGCCGAGGTGGGAGGCGGTCCGGGGCGACGACGGTGGCGGACCGGAGCTCGGCGGCGACGGTGGAGAGAGAGAGCGACGTCGCGAGCTCGAATCCGGCGAGGAGGAAGGGCGGCGAGAGGCGGAAACGGACGGAGGAGGTGCGGGGAGGATTTAAATAGGGTTGGAAGGGGGAGAGGGCGGCCAGAGGGGAAGGAAACCGGCACGGCGTTCTCGGGCTCCATCAATGGCGCCGGCGGGATTAGGGGAGGGTTTCCAAACGAATCCAAGGGAGAGAGGGAGGGAAAATTGGGGGAAAAGGGAGAGGGAATCACGGGGAATAATTCCCCCCTATTTATTTCACGCGGGGACGATGGGATGCGGCGGATTCGGCGGCGGCGGCGGCGCTTGGCGCAGGCGGAGCGGCGGGAGCGGCGGGAGGTCAGGGATGACGGGTGGGCCCCACCCGTCAGCGAGGGTGGCGGGCGTGCCCGCCCGTCAGCGGCGCACGCGCGGGGAGGGGCCGAGTGGGCCGCGGGAAAGAGGAGAGAGGGGGAGAGAAATGGGCCGAGCCGGCCCAAGAGAGGGGGGAACTTTAAGGTTTTTCTTTTTATAAAATCATTTTAACTTTGTTTATTTCTTAACAATTATTATTTATGCTCTGAAAATTCCACGAAAATTTATTTACAAATTTTAGGCTTTTAGGAAATATTCAAAAATCCTCTAAGCCTTGTTTGACTTTTACTTTGCACATTTTAATTTTTGGAGGCTTTCACACGGATTTTAATTATTCTAGGCATAATTTAGAGGATATATTTTAGGGTCGTTTTGGGACGTGACAATTTATACCCGAGAATTACAAGATATGTCCATACCGGACACGATCACTATCTCTAACAAACTCTAAGATACCGTAAGTCTTTGTGGCAGACTTTTGCCCAAACATATCTCTAAGGAAGTTGCATAAAACATCCTAATTAATAGATACAATTGCCTTCTCAGGACTCTATCCATGTGCGGCAATCATCTTGAAGCACCTCAATTCAACCCGATGTCATACACCAAATTATACTGTCGGAATCGGCTGCATCGGCTTACCTAGTCCGACTTAGACCCAGCAGATCCTAATCGTAGCCGATCTGGACTTCAGCCGATTCTTGTTCTGTTCTCGAATCAATCTCTGCCTTCGACTCCACCTCGATCTAGTCTCCTCTTCCGATGCTGATATTACCAAATTTGGTTATTAACAATAGTCCCATTCCCAGCAACCCCATTCCCAGCATCACAGCATTCACAACCAATTCACAGCATCATAGCATTTATATTCCCAGCATCGCAGCATTTATATTCCATCACAACACATGCATTCACAGCCAATTCACAACTCATTCACATTTATATTCCATCACAACACATGCATTCACATCACATATATGTCATTCACATCTATTTTTCTCTCCAAACCGCCGACATGCATCAAAACCTGCAAACTAAGTTATAAATTGGAAAGATTTTATATGTAATTAGAAATGCAAGTATATACAGAGATGAGCTACCTAGGACTTTACTCTAAAGAATTTAATTGTATTACAAAGAATATTTACAAAAATCAAATGTTTGTCGCATATGCATTGCAAATGTTCTGCCATTCCGAGACGAGCTACCTAGAACTTCACTCTAAACATCCCTTTCGGTGACAAGAGATCATCTAGTATGAATTGTGCTATCTCCTCTCTAATGATATCGAAGTTGATTTCCGGAATCGTTGAAATTTTTTCCTGCATGTTCGGCGCCAAGTTAGTCTACATACTTGTAAAATTGTCGTCCTATGTGTGTATAAACAATTGAAGGACACACCTCAGGGTCGAGCAATGTCACCTTGTCTGCGAAGCTCCTCATGTTATGGCAGACATGGAACCCGCACTGGTCGCCAACTTGTTGACGTATTGGGAAGTCTTTTGTGTGACCGAGTTTCGGATGCCCATCCTTATGCCTCCCGCCACTTGCCACGTATTGGTCCCATGCCTCGTTCAAGGCAGATTTGATGGCCGACCAATCGTATATTTTTGGATTGATATTGGAGTTAAGGTAGTGTACCAAACTCCACTTCGGCATTATTACCAGAAGAATCCAATGACGCCTGCGAAATTAATAAATTGCCAGTTACAAACTACAGTTGTACGCATCACGCATTTGAGTATAAGTATGGTACACGCTTACTGTTGATTGTAGGCACACATAATGAAGTCCTTGTCTTGACGGGCAAATAAGCAGTCCTTGATATAGTCCACCATGTTGGCTCAGTCATTTTTTAGCGTTATCTCATTGACGACAGCTGGATCGAGTAAAACAACATGGGGTGCTTTATGATGGACATGCTTCCAGGTTAACCTACGAGCAAGACAAAAGTCAGGGTAAGCGTAATTTATGGATAGTTACTACCATATCGCGTACCCAGAAATACTTAAAAGGAATAGCACTTAAGGAGGTTGGTGTCGATCGCTCGCACCCTGTAGAGGTCCCATAGATCTTTGAAGTCTACGGCGATGAAGGTAGAAGGCCCGAGGAACGGCTGACTATTGTGCTAGCCCAACATGGAGGTCTCTCTATTCTTCCTCCTTGCATTGGACTTCTCCATGTAGTACCTGTGCAACTCATTGCATGCAGGGCCCTTCTTGAATAAGGCATCGTCTCCGACCAATGGCATGCCCAATGTGAATTCGGCCGGAGGCTTTTGAGCTATTGGCGCCTTGCCAAGATCAAGCTTCTTTGGGGCAAATGGCACCTTTCCTTTTCCTCTCCCCATTCCAGCAGCTTTTCTGCGTGTGTCAAGCTTGGGTGGAGAAGATTTTGCCCTCTTGCTCCTTTTGGCAGGAGGGGGGAGGTGCGGCCTGCTGTCGACCTCCATACCGTCGACCCCAAAATCTGTATCATACTGTAATTGGAGATCTTCATATCTTTATTCAATGGCAGGAGGGAGAGATACAACAGTTGGATGGGGACGCATCGGCGGCGGACGAGAACTTGGCGCTGGCCTTGGAGTTATATTGATCTCAATGCTGTGCTTGGGCCATTGAATAAAGGTCCCACATGCAGCCCCAAGGGTCAGAATCTCGTCATTAGGTGGGTGGGGGATAGTGTAGCCAACCCAATCGGGCTTCACTAAGTCCACCTGAACTTTGGCATTGCCGGCTAGCAGCTGCGCTCCATGCACTTGGGTGTCCGGGGTAGGCTTGAACGCTTGACCCTCTGCAGCAGGAATTGCAAATCCTGGTGTCACCCTAACGACTAGGGTACACGATGTGGGTTCCTGCGATAGATTCATTAGTGTCCTTAGAATATGTTGCAATGTATTGTGGTGCTAATACAATATATGCCTTTTTAAGTTGTTTTTACCGTTATGTGGTCCACCGCAGCGGGGCCTTTAGGCTATTCTGCCGGAGCCTCAGTTGATGCGCAGCTGCTACGCCTCTGCGTGGGGCTCACTTGTACTATGGGACCGGGAGTGGCATCGGTCGACCTATCCCTGATGCGTGCCTCCACCCGAGCCTCCATACCTAAGAGCTCGGTAGTGAGCTCTTCTCTAAGCTCTTCTTTAAGCTCCACCCGAAGTTGGTCCTTAAGGCGTGCAGTTTTCTACGCCTTTGAAAGCTTGTGCTTCTTGTACTGCCACGCGTATTGGGGAAACCCAAACTTCCATGGAACATTGGAGCCAATGCCCCTTGTTCGTCCACGGTGTTCTTCGTTTCCAAACGCTTTCGTGAGGATGTCATCCTCGCGTCTTTGTGAGCAGACCTCTTGGGAGGCATGTCTCTCAGCATTCAGTTCGACCTGGGGTACGGTTAGGATGAGTTAGATGAAGAATAAGATACGACATAATGAAATTTATTCTATGTGTTCAACTTACGATTTTCTGGTACACCGCTTGATCTTTGGGATTTGGGAACAAAAGAGTTCCATCACTATTCTTCTTCACCCTTGCCCTTGCGCAGTTCCATGCCCGCTGGACCGGGATATCAGTAAGCACTTGCGGGGTGTTAGATTCCGCTGCAGCTTCATCCTCCTTGTCCCATTCTTCCTGTTTCCCCGTGTAGGCTCCGGTGCCAAGCCGGTGCGGGTGAAGGTTCCTTGCCTGCAGATCCCGGTAGGCCTGGCTTTTTGCCCGAGACTCTTTCGTTGATTTGGCGGCATGGAACTCATCCCACACGGTTCGGGTGATGAATGGGTATTTCCCAAATGGTTCTGGTTGGGCTGGGTTGAGGACGTACTCCGTGACCAGCGTTGTCTTGAAATTTTTCCAACAATTCCCCATCTTGCGGATAGCCTGCCGCTTGAGTCCTGCCTCGGCCTCTAAAGGGTATTGGAAGCTTTCCTTGAACTGCCTCCAGGCCTCTTCTTTTTCTTCTTGAGGGACCAGATAGATGTGGTCCTTCAGAATAGTGAAGTTCCGCCTCCCTAGGACTCTGCATATCGTAGGGAACTTTTTGACAGCTTTCGTCAGAGCCGTCGGATATCCAACATTGTCCACCTCTGTTATGGTGTAGACTTCCTTAGGAATCTAATTCTGGGTCCTAGGATTCCGGCTCAAAGTAGTCCTAGTAGTAGTCGTCGACATTGGTTCGCCTTGCTGCGACATGTCCTATGTGACTGTTGCACGGGAAGAAAGTACTTTTTAAAAAGTAAATTGCATCTAGACACATTCTCTGATGGTTTGATATACCTCTATCTCCTACCTGCGCCCGCCCCGTCGAAGGATGTCACGTCCCAAAACGACTCTAAAATATATCCTTTAAATTATGCCTAGAATAATTAAAATCCGTGTGTGAAAGCCTCCAAAAATTAAAATGTGCAAAGTAAAAGTCAAATAAGGCTTGGAGGATTTTTGTATATTTCCTAAAAGCCTAAAATGTGTAAATAAATTTTAGTGGAATTTTCAGAGCACAAATAATTTTAGTGGAAGTTAAAAAGGTTTTATAAAAAGAAAAACCCTAAAAGTCCCCCTTCCCTCCCTTGGGCCGGCCCAGCCCATCTCTCCTCTCCCCCCCCCCCTCTCTCTCTCTCTCCTCTCCCCGCGGCCCACTCGGCCTCTCCCCGCGCGCGCGCCGCTGACGGGCGGGCCCGCCCGGCACCCTGACTGACGGGTGGGGCCCACCCATCATCCCCTTCCTCCCGCCGCTCCCGCCACCTTCCCCGTGCCCTAGCGCCGCCGCCGCCGCGAATCCCGCCGCCTCCCGCCGTCCCCGCGTGCAATAAAGTGAGGGGAATCACTCCCCGTGATCCCCTCTCCCTTTCCCCCCATTTTTCCCTCTCTCTCTCGCGTTCAAACGAGCGGATTTGCCCCCGCAAATCTCGCCGGCGCCATTGATGGCGGCCGGACCTCCCGCGCCGATTTCCTTCCCCTCCGGCCGCTCTCTCCCCCTTCCAACCCTATTTAAACCTTCCCCGCGCCTCCCTCGCCCGTTTCCGCCCCTTGCCGCACCGTCTCCCCGCCGGAATCGAGCTCGCGACGTCGCTCTCTCTCTCCGCCGTCGCCGCCGAGCTCCGGTCCGCCGCCGTCGTCGCCCCGGACCGCCTCCCACCTCGGCGCCGCCTCCTTCGGCTTCGCCGCATCCTCGCCGACCTCGTCCACCTCTCTGTTTCGGTCGCCGACCGCCGGAACGCCGTCGACCCCGTCGACCCGAGCCGCGCCACCGCCTTCCTCCGCTCCGGCCGCCTTTTTCGTCGTCGCCGTCGACCTAGGGTGAACCGTGGACCGCCGCCTCTTTTCCCCCTTCCCTTCCCCTCTCTCGGCCGCCGCTCCGCCGTGCCTATGGCCGCCGCCGGCGACCATAGGGGCGCGGGCGCCACCTCCCGCCGGCCGCGCCGAGTGGCCGCCGCGTGGGGCCCGGCCGTCAGCCACCCGTGCCCTCGGGTGCGGCTGACCGTGCGGCCCACGGCGCCGACCGGTGCGAGCCCGGGTGCGCCCGGTCCACCGTGGACTGTGAGGCTGCCGCGTGGGCCCCACTCCCGTGGACCCGGTCCGCGCGCCCCCTCCCCTCGGCTGACGCAATAAACCCTTTTTAAATTAAAATTTAAATGAAGAAATTCGCAAATATTCATTTAAAGAGCATATAAACTTCAAATGGCCATAACTTGGCCATTTGAACTCGGAATTGGACCATTCAAGTCTCTAATTTTTCCTTAAGAAGTCAAGAACCCATTTTTGTGCTTTGTTCCTGCTTGTTATATGGAGTTTATTAGAGTAAAAGCCTTTTCTTTTCCGTTGGTCGTGTAGACGCGGCAGCTTCGGAAGATCCGCTCTTCGTGAAGGTTGAAGCCGACGTTTGGGAAAGTGAGCAAGGCAAGTCACATCATCCTTGAACATATTGAATCCCAGTTTATAAAATTATTTTGATTTAAATTATTGCATTATCGCTTTATTTAAATTCCCGCGTTATCACTGTTTTATCTAGCCATACCTATTTACCTTTGTTATGACCTTATTATTGTTATTGTTATTATTTCCTTGTTCACCCTAGAATAAACAAAACCCCAACTAGTGGACACTCTACTCATGGTACCACTAGTATGATTTTAGGTAGATGCTTCGCTGGTTAATTAGGCAACATTAGGTGGTTTTACAACTCTAGTCTTTGGGAATTTTCTCATCACCTGGACACTATGGAATGGATGGATTATTGTGGAATTGGATTCACACCTCCCCCTCTATTCAAAACCCTCAAAATGGTTTTAGGCTGGGCTCAGGGTGCATGGTTTTGATAGTAGCACCTCGGCCATATAAGGACCGGTCTTCGGGCCTCTGTTGCAAAGCACTACCGTACTTCCACATGTCTAGTGGGTAAGGCTTAGTTTGTGGCTCAGTCTGGTTATAAACAAAAGTACACGGATGGAGATGGACGAAGTCGGGGGTCGATGGACATCTCTAGGACAAATG